AAGGCGCGAGACTTCCCACCCACAGGGTCCCCAGTGGGAGGCCCCGGAGCTGTGCCCCCTCCCCTCGCCGAGCCTCTGGTGCTCTCGGGAGCAGGCACCCCCCGCTGCATGACAAGGCTTCCCATCAGGTGAGCGGGAGGGCTCCGTCCACGGTCTGCCCCGGAGAGCCTGGGGGAGCGAGACAGCACAACCTCCCGAGAGGACGGGGGAGCGAGACAGGACAACCTCCCCGAGAGGATGGGGGAGCGAGACAGGACAACCTCCCCGAGAGGACGGGGGAGCGAGACAGGACAACCTCCCCGAGAGGACAGGGGAGCGAGACACAACCTCCCCGAGAGGACGGGGCAGCGAGACAGGACAACCTCCCCGAGAGGACGGGGGAGCGAGACAGGACAACCTCCCCGAGAGGACAGGGGAGCGAGACAGGACAACCTCCCCGAGAACCCGGAGAATGCACAGCCCCGCCTGGAGGCCACCGGAGCAGACGCCGAGGGTCTGGCGAGCACGGCCAATGGAAACTCCTGTGGGGAGCTCTCCTCCCAGTGCCTCCCCGGGACCAACGCTCACGGTCCTTCTTTACTCTCGGGCACAGCGTAACCCTGTTGGTAACATCAAATCACACCATAGACTTCATGACCACAATGCGTATTGAGGCCCTGGCTGGTTGCTCAATGGTTAGAGAGTCAGCCCCGCACCAAAGGGTTGCAGGTTTGATTCCTGGTCAAGGGCACGTGCCTGGGTTGAGGTTCGAGGCCTGGCCCCAGTCAGGGCACATGTAAGAGGCAACCAATTGATGTGTCTCCCTCACATCAACGTTTCTCTCTCTCTCTCCCTCCTTTCACTCTAAAAAAAAAAAATCAATGGAAAAAATATCCTCAGGTGAGGATGAACAACAACAAAAGAAAAACTTACCGCAAGCGTAGAAATTAAATTTTTACAAAATCTCATGACCCACACAGATTATTTCCTTCTTTGTCACACAAGAAGCAAACATGCAGAAAAACACAGAACACACGTACGGTCAGGGGAGAACGCCGGAGAAAGCATGTATGAAAGCGTGTGTGTGTGTGTGTGCATGTGCGTGTGTGTGTGTGTGTGCGTGTGTGTGTTTAAGGAGAAATGACCCCCGTCCGCCCTGATTTCTACCAGCGCTGCCTCGGCGGCTCCCGGGGACGCCTGGAAGGAAGCGGTTCGTGGGTGGTTCGAAGCGTGTCCCTCCCTCATGGAGGTGGCCAGGATGGATGAGAGCCCACAGGCCGCCTGTTCCGGAGCCAGGGCGGCCTGGGGGCGGGCTCGGGCCGGTCCTTACCGGGCACTGACCGTGACGCACATGAGCACGTCGGTCAGCATGAGCAGCCGCCGCTCCTTGGTCTTGAGGACTTCGCCGCGGTCGTTGTACACGGTCTCGATCACGTCGTCGGACCGGATGAGGTGCCGGCTCCCACTGCTGAGAAGCTGGACATTCACGGTCACGCTCGCCACGGCCGCCACGGTCGCGGTTAAGAAAAGGGAGAGGAGCGAGCGTCCGCGCGGTGCAGGGCAGCGCGGGGCTTCAGACCCGTCTTCGGGGGGGGGCCCACCCGTTGCCCTCAGCCAGCGCTGGGCGCTCAGAGCGCGGCTTTTCACCCTACAGCTCCCCGGACGGTTCCAGGCCCTCTCACAGCGAGAGGGACCGCATCCCTGCGACACGCTCCTGAGGCTGAGACGCGGACACGCCGGCCATGGCTCAGGGGCTGAGCATCGACCTATGAACCAGGAGGTCCCGGTTCGACTCCCGCTCAGGGCACATGCCCAGGTTGGGGGCTCGATCCCCAGTGTGGGGCGTGCAGGAGGCAGCCGGTCCATGATTCTCTCTCATCACTGATGTTTCTATTCCTCTCTCCCTCTCCCTTCCTCTCTGAAATCAGTAAAAACATGTTAAAAATGTATTACAATAAAGTACTTAGAGTTAAAATACTGAATGTCACTGTAGGATAGGAAATTAATCCTACTGACAAAAAAAAACCCAACCACGTGCTTTGGCAATAATGAATATTGCATGTAATTATTTAACACAGCTCGTACCAATCAACCTCCCCGTGTACAGCTACACGGCTCAGACTGCTGTCACGGGAAGTGCTTCTGTAAACGTGAAGCCGGCGCGTCAGCCTGACCGTTGCACGCGGAGTGCAGCCTAGTCCGTGCACGGCTGACACACACACACACATTAAACTGCACACACAGTGCTTGAGCCACGAGCGTCTAAAATAAAATACTGCCTCTGCCCGCCGGCGTGGCTCAGTGGCTGAGCGCCAACCTATGAACCAGGAGGTCCCGGTTTGAGGTTGGATTCCCGGGTGGTCAGGGCACGTGCCTGGGTTGCGGCTCCATCCCCAGTGTGGGGCGTGCAGGGGGCAGCTGATCCAGGATTCTCTCTCATCATGGACGTTTCTCTCTCTCCCTCCCCCTTCCTCTCTCTCTGAAATCAATACAAATATCTTTTAAAAATATAAAATAAAATAAAAATAAACTGCACACACAGTGCTTTAACTCTGAGCATCTAAAATCAAACCCCGCGTCTGAAAGCAGAATTCAGCGGGAAGAGCGGTTCTTCACCTTTTGGGGTCCTGGGTCCCCTTGAGGGCCCGATGAGCCCGTGCACCCCTTTTCGAGGACACCCAGACTCTGAAGCTTAGGCAGCCTCCGGTGTCGGGGGCCTGCCGGCTCCCCTCGGCTCCCAGGTCAGCGCCTGCCCGGGAGCTGCCCGGAGGCCCCGGGGGTTAGTAACAGCGGCGGAGACGGCAGTGCGGGTTAGTACGGGAAGCTCAGCGGAGGCGAGAATCTCCGTCCACCTTGTTCAGGTATCTCTCGTTTATGGCTTTCGCTAGCTGCTTCATTTCGCAGCGTTGATCTGCGTCTCGCTTTCTCTCGTTCAATTTCTCTGCTAACGTCTCCAGCTCCGTCAGCGCCATCTGGAGGGGCAGCCGGTCGGGGTGTCCACGGGGCGTGTTCCTCAGCATGTCCTTTGGGGAAACGAGCAAACGGGGGTGTGACTGCCCGTGTGGGGGCCGAGGGCCGTGGTCATCGCAGATGCCCCGCCCAGCAGCCCCATAGCCCACGCTGGCCGCAGAGGGTGACCGTGAGGTCAGCGGTCTCTAGGGAAGAATAAAAACCCGTCGGGAAGGACGCGAACCAGGTGAGTCACAACCTGACTGACGCTTCAACAGCTCCTTTCACAGAAACAAGATTAACTCACTCAGTGGCATTGCTCACGGAAAAGGTATCGTCTTGCCCGGCCAGCGTGGCTCAGTGGCTGAGCATTGACCTATGAACCAGGAAGTCACGGCTCGATTCCTGGTCAGGGCACAGGCCCCAGTTGGGGGCTTGATCCCCAGTGAGGGCGATGCAGGAGGCAGCCGATCCATGATTCTCTCTCATCATTGATGTTTCTCTCTCTCTCTCCCTCTCCCTTCCTCTCTGAAATCAATAAAGATATATTTTAACACCCACACACACAAAAACACACTCGGTCCTCGCCCCAGGTCAGGATTGAGGCACGGAGCCCCTAAAACTCAGGGGTTTCTGAGTGATGGGGAGCAGAGCCGCCCAGCGCGCCTGAGCTGAGGCCAGTGGTGGCTCCTGCGGCCGTGGCTCCAGGTGGGGCTGGCGGCCAGAGGAAGGAGCGGGGATTGGAGGCTGGACCTCCAGGGAGGGGCCTGAGGGATGAGGTGGTCCCCATTGGCCAGTGAGGCCATCCGTCCGCCTCCACAGTGGAACCGCCACGGGAACCCACAGGCAGGTCTGGAGAGGTTCGGGGTCAGGAGGGTGGTGAGCACCCGGCAGCCCCAGGCCCCTCCCGCCTGCCCCTCTCCCCGTGTGTCCATCTGGTGGCCAAGTTACAGCCTTTGTAATAAACCGCCCGCACCAGTGCCTTCCTGAGTTCCGGGAGCCCCCCTAGCCCGTTCCTGAACCTGCGGGCGCGTGGGGACCCCAGCTTGGTAGCCCAGTGGGACAGAACCGGGACCCGCTATGCACTGGGCGTCTAAAATGGACCTGAGGGCTGATGCTCGGGGGTCAGTGTCAGCTGAGCCGAACGCAGGACATAGGCTGGTGGGGGCCCCCTCGGAGGAGAGGGGCTGAGGCTACAGGGAGGACTGGTTCCAGGGGTCAGCAGGGGTCATGGGGGTGGCCGGGCCGCGGTACCTGGAGCAGCAGGATGAACTGCGGGAACCTCTGGATGGGCCTGGTCATCAGGCTGTAGAGCGTGACGCGGTCTGGACTGGACTCCTGGCTCTGCTGCGAAGAGAGGGGTCTCACTCACCTCGGGCAGCGGGACGCTAAGGCCGTCCACGCCCAGCACGCGGCCTCGGGGCAGAGTCAGGGCCACTCAAGGGCCTGCGTCTGTGTCTGCAGACACTTCCTCCACCACCTGTCCCCCTGCCCCGTCCCTCGAATCCACCTCTTGGCCCCTGGCCTACAGTGAGCGCGGCTGGCTTCTGAGTCAGAACCTTCAAGCCCTGGCCAGTGTGCAAGGGGTTAGAGCAGGGGTGGGCAAACTTTTTGACTCGAGGGCCACAATGGGTTCTTAAACGGGACCGGAGGGCCGGAACAAAAGCATGGATGGTGTGTTTGTGTGAACTAATATAAATTCAAAGTAAACATCATTACATAAAAGGGTACGGTCTTTTTTTTTTTTTGTTTTATTCATTTCAAACGGGCCTTATTCATTGCCCACGGCTGTAATAGGTACACACTATTTTAATGAATGAGTAAGTGAATGAATGAATGAATTATTGAAAAACAATGAATAAAATGCTATCTCCTCCCCTTGATTCTGTTACTCTCCTCTGTATTTGCCAGTATTAATGAAGTAGGTTTCAGAGGCTTCTCACACTCATTCTTATGGTTAAAGAATAGATTTTGAAACCTGAGGATGTACCAACTATTATTATGTGTCATAACTGTTAAAAAATATTCTTGCATGCATTCAGGTATTTCTGCAGGAAGAAAAAAAATCTATATTTCTGAAAAACAGAAACTAAACTATTCCTTGATACATGTTTTATTCCCCAGGGATTAGCAGCAGCTCTTCTCCCAGTTCCAGATTGAATATGAGAAGGAAGAAGTCCATATGCTACAGAGCCCACTGTTACAAGGGAGGCTTCATGGTGCAATGGAACTAGACTTTATGTTTGAAGCTAATGTGTTTGGGTTTGAATCCTCATTTGGTAATTTTCTTTTGACTCACTCTCAAAAGCAATACAATGGGGAAAATCTATCTAACTCAAGAATTATTGTGAGGGTTAAATGAGCTCACAGATGTGAAAATTCTTTATAAAAAATGAACCTGCAAATATGAAAGTTCTCATTTATATTCCCAAAGGAGTTGACTGTCTTTAGTATATGGCTAAGGCACATCTCCACTGGGAATGGTTAAGGAAATGCAGTAATTACTCCCAAATTGTTCCTTGTCCCTCACTGGAAATTTGTGACCTTGGTCTCCTGGGTTCCCAGCCTGGCTGGTAAAAATGGATACCTTTGTTGTTGGCTGGATCTGGTTTAAAAGAGAGAGTGTACCTCCTTCCCACTTCAGGGTTGAGCTTGTGACTTTTCTTTCTTTCCCAGGTCTAACCCTCTTGGAGAGAAATTGAAATATTAGTTCATACCTTAGAGCTGACAGTATTTGAATTTATTACTCCTGAGCTAGGTAAGGGCAGTTCTTGTAGGCTTCAGTCAGCAGTGTGTGTGTGTGTGTGTGTGTGTGTGTGTGTGTATGATTTATGCCAAGCACTTTATATAAGTTTGTTGTGTCATATTGAATAACTTAGATGGATGTAATAATTATAATTCCTTGAGGTTTGTACTTTCTTCTCTAGGAAAATATGATCTCTTTTACAATTTTGCTAAAGATCTGGCCTGCATTCAAACTATGGGCACAAACTTCCAGGTTTAAAACAGTGGTCTGTATTTTTTGCAAATAATTGTAAACGTGTGTATAGAATTTTTTTATTATGTTCTTTCAAATATTATAACATATGCTTTTCATGAACTTATTTCATCGGCTAAATACTATTATTTCCAATGGATATGTACCATAGGTTACAGGGGTGGGCAAACTTTTTGACTCGAGGGCCACAATGGGTTCTTAAACTGGACCGGAGGGCCGGAACAAAAGCATGGATGGAGTGTTTGTGTGAACTAATATAAATTCAAAGTAAACATCATTACATAAAAGGGTACGGTCTTTTTTTTTTTTTTTAGTTTTATTCATTTCAAACGGGTCGGATCCGGCCCGCGGGCCGTAGCTTGCCCACGGCTGGGTTAGAGCATCAGCCCGCACACCAAAGGGTCTCAGGTTCAGTTCCTGGTCATGGGCACGTACCTGGTCTGCAGGTTTGATCCCCAGCCCTGGTTAGGATGCGAGGGGGAGGCCACCGATAGATATGTCTCTCATCGATGTTCCTCTCTCTCTCTCTCTCTCTTTCTCTCTCTCTCTCTCCCCCTCCCCCTATCCCTTCCACTCTCTCTAAAAATCAATGGAAAAATATCCTCAGGTGAGGATTAACAACATAATAATAAAATAAATTACAAAAAATAAAAGCTACGTTACCCCTAAAAATTCATCTCTTTCTTTCTCGCACTGACCCAATGCCTAGGGCGCTGTCGGGACGAAAGCCGTTACAGTGAGCGGCATCGTACACTTGGAGGTGAGGGTGCGGAGTTTCCTTATCAAGCACCCCACGTGGAGCCTGTTATCAGAGATGTTCAAACCCAAAATGGAAGAGGAAGGCCCGTACCTTTAGGAACTCCAGGAAGGCGGGCTTCGTGGAGCAGGCCTTCTTGAGGACGGCCACGGCCGCGCTGAAGTTGTTGACGTACTCGCTGTAGGCGTCCAGCACCATGGACTTGGAGAACTGGAATCGGACACGGGACACGTGAGGAACGCAGCGGCCCTGGGCCTCCCAACCTCGATAACCCCGTCACGGCCACGCTACGCGGAACAAACTTCACTACCACCGTGTGTGACCTTTTGGGTCGATTTCTGGGGACTCTGTTCTGTTCCGTTGATCTCTATGCCTGTTCTTGTGCCAGGACCAGGCTGTTTCGAGCACAGTGCTTTGTAGTATATAACGTAATATCTGGTATTGTGAGCCCTCCTGTTTTGCTCAACTTTTTCAAGATGCTGTGGCTATTCGGGGTCTTTTTTTGGTTCCATATAAACTTTTGGAGTTTGTTCTAGATCTGAGAAATAGGCCGTTGGTATTTCAGCGGGTATTTCATTGAATCTGTAGATTGCTTTGGGTAGTGTGGACATTTTAATGATGTTGATTCTACCAATCCATGAACATGGTATACTCTTCCACTTGTGTATGTCTTCCTCTATCTCTTTTTTTCAACAGCCTGTAGTTTTCTCAGTACAGGTCTTTTACCTCCTTGGTTAAGTGTATTCCTCAGTATCTTAATATTTTTGGTGCAATGGTAAATGGGATTTAGTTTCTCTTTCTGAGAATTCATTATCGATGTATAAAAACGTCATAGATTTATGGGTGTTGATTTTGTTCCTGCTACACTGCCGAATTCATTTATTAAATCTAGTAGGTTTTTTTGGTGGAGTCTTTAGGGTTTTCTATGTACAATATCATGTCATCTGCAAATAATGAGAGTTTTACTTCCTCCTTTCCAATTTGGATGCCTTTTATTTCTTCTTCTCGTCTGATCGTTGTGGCTAGGACTTCAGTACGATGTTGAACAAGATGGTGAAAGCGGACATCCCTGTCTTGCTTCTGTTCTTGGGGGACATGGTTTTAGCTTTTGCCCACTAAGTAGGATATTTTCAAGCAAACGTGTCAGGCGTTGTTTGAACGGCGGGGTGACCTTATCCTGCGGGTCCCTGCACTCAGGCCTCCTGGCTCAGAACCGTGCAGCCTGGGCTTCTGCAAACGTCCCTGGCTGTCCACGTGCAGAGATGACATCACAGCCGCCCTTCCTTACACTCCAGCTGGCCCGTGGACCTCGCTGTCTGGTTCCACCTCCAGGACAGGGCAGCCCACGGGGCAGCACGAGGTCCCAGCTCCTGGAATGCCCTGGGCCGAGGGCCGTGCACATAGATCTGAGGTCCTATTGCCCAAGAAGCACAGAGGCTCCGGGAGGCAGAGACGATGCCTCGCTCTGTGTTTCTCTGAGTCCACATGTCCGGCCCCAGGATGGAAGCCACAGCCTCAGGGACACCCGGTGGGACCATCACTTAGAGAAGGGGCACGCTCACCTTCATCACGTTTAAAACAAAGAGGACTGTTTCTGCAAGTCGACCTTTGAACCAGGAGGTCGGGGTTCAATGCCCGGTCGGGTCGGTCAGGGCGCAGGAGCCGGCAGGATGCTCCCACACCAGCACTCATGGGAGGAGCCTCCAGCAGGGGGTGTGCAGGAGGCAGCCCGTCAATGATTCTCTCCCTCTCCCTTCCTCTCTGAAATCAATAAAAACATATCTTCTTTAAAAGGACTGTTTCCATTCAAAAGTCTGATCCAGGTAAATATTGTAGGAAGGGGCTGGAGATAAAGTGGAGGCAACGACGGAGGAAATGTCCGATGTTTCTGTTTCCATGACAATAGCTGCAGGGGCTGCACGCAGATCCCCCCCACGAGCTCGGTGCCTCCTGCTGCCCCAGAGGAAGGAGAGGTGTCACATGGCAGTCACAGCGCCCACGCAAGTCCACGGGCACGGGCCGTGCAGCTGCGCCCTTCGCCGGCGCCCTTGGTCCGCGCCATCCAGCCATCCATCGATGACGCTCTGTTACCCGCAGGCTCCTGCGCCTGAAGGGAAGCTCGTGGGTCCCAAGGCGTCGAAGTCGGGAACGGACCGAGGACAGAGGCTCAAAGGCCTGACACTACCTCGGGCTGCGGCGTCCGGGCAGCTGGCTGAGGGCC